AAGTTCAAGCCAAAGAGAGGGAAGCGCCTGGGACGCGGATAGTACAGGGCTTGGGTTTCTTCCCAGGGCCTGGAAGGTGGGAGGGCTCCCTGGGAGGGTGGAAGTGAGGGAAAATAATCCAGAACTGTTCATTGCTCCAGGGATCGCAGCTGAAGGAGGTATAAACTGAAGAGGGAAGGATCACGGAAGTGAGCAATTGGTGCCTAAAGCAAACTTTCTCGCACTGTCAACTTGTGCCACGCTAATTGCATAAAACAGGATTATGTACCTGTAACTTACATATTCGGCATATAGTTTATACCCTAAGATTTCTTCACTATGGTAAAAATCAGCTGTGTCCTTAAAAATGATTGCCCGAGCAATAGTTACTTTCGAGTGGAGGCTGAAACAAAACAGCCTCCACTGGAAACAAAATTTAAAAAGTTCTGAATCTCAAGGGCATACTGTCTGGAGAAGTTACCCTCCCCACCCCAACCTTGAAGCTTGGGAGTGGAAAGTTATTATGTGAGCAGTTTACATTTATTAAGCAGTTAGTTTGGAAGGCTAAGTGCTTTGAATGGATTGTCTCATTTATTCTTCCAAGGCGCCTTATGAGCTAGATACGGCTCTCACGTCCAACTTAACGAACGAGAGACTGAAAAGACGTCTAGCTGGCAAAGGGCAATGCTAGGATTACCCGATCCTGAAGCCCAAATTCCTTCTATCCTACTACCCTGCATTTGTTAGTCCTGAAAATACCCTAAAGTGAGTAACAGTAAAATGCTAAAATTAGTAATACCTAGGGTGAGGTTACAAAAAACCACATACGGTCATGCTGTGTTGGTAGGAATGTGAATTGGTATGATCTTTCTGAAGGACAATTTAGCAATGTTTACCAGAGAATTTTAAATGTAAGTACCCTTTTGTTTCAAAATCATGATTTCAATCACCAAGATATCGTAAGTGAAGGAAAGCAAGGTGCAGAATAGTGTGTATAGTAAGATTGCTTTTATAATAATTTTTAAAAATACATATAGAAGAAGGATTGATAGCCATGCTAGCATATAAATCCCATTTCCCCCCTGAAACACAAGAAGCTTTTAACAATAAATATCTTTGGAAAGAGTAAGCCGGTTATTTTTTTTTGTGTGTGCCATTGGGAGATATTTGGGCTTTTAAAGTTTTGTTTTCCTCTCTATGTTTGCTGATCTTTTTTAAAGTTTAAGTCTTTTTTTTTAAGATTTTATTTATTTATTTGACAGAGAGAGAGTGAGAGAACACAAGCAGGGGAGCAGAAGAGGGAGAGGGAGAAGCAGGCTGCCCACTGAGCAAGGAGTCTGACTCGGGGCTCAATCCATGACCCTGGAACCATGACCCGAGCGGAAGGCAGACACCCAACCAAATGAGCAACCCAAGTGCCCCAAAGTCTTTTAAATAAAAACCAAATAGCCAGCATTTACTGAGGGTTTGTCATGAGCAAGGGACTGAAATAAACATCTTACATACACTACTTCATTATATTCTCACATGAAATGGTTAGCTCCATTTTACAGATGAGGAGTTAGAGCCTCGGACAGGTGAAATCCCTTGCTTGAGGTGCCACAGCTAAGGATGTGGGCAAGCGGCCGGTTAAATGTCTGCCTCGGTTCGGAGCCCTTGGCGCTCAACTGCCTGGCTGTGCTCTTCTAACTGGTTTTTATACTCTCATTGCCTAATAAAAGTAAACTGGTGAACAACTGGAGTCTAATGAGATAATGTATGTGAAAATACTTTTCTAAGTATAGAGATGTTTGGGGAGGACAGAACAGGCAGCAGGAGTTGAACTTGGGCCGACCTGTCCACTGAGCCCCAGTCAGGATATTGTTTTTTGAGGAAGTGATGATCAACATCTTTCTTCTCTTTCACCTTTAAAAAACGTTATAAAATGCTATTTATTCCCCCCTTTCCCCCATAACACCTGATCATTGTTGAAAAATTAAAAATGTTGTGGAGAACTGAAAGTCCTTTCATAATACTTCTCACCGATACTTCATGACCCGTTTCAGGTTTTAATGGCTACGGAACTATTTTTGCACACATTCCCGCATATTTTACCTCGATGGGAGCAACTCTATATTTCTTCAGTATCTTGCTTTCTTTCAACCTTATCACATACCCTGACCTTCTTTTCATATCAGCACTTACAAATCTTTTCTCTTTTATTTTTATTTATTTTTAAAGATTTTATTTATTTTGACAGAGAGAGAGAGACAGCGAGAGAGGGAACACAAGCAGGGGGAGTGGCAGAGGGAGAAGCAGGCTTCCCGCGGAGCAGGGAGCCCGATATGGGCCTGGATCCCAGGACCCCTGGATCATGACCTGAGCCAAAGGCAGACGCTTAACAACTGAGCCACCCAGGCGCCCCAAATCTTTTCTCTTTTAAATAAACACCTGCATAGTATCCATCTTGCCACTATATACACACAGATACAAATTATTTTTCGAATTGTCTACTGAAGGACATTTAAGCTACTTCCAACTGTTTACTTTCCTAACTGCAGCTGCGGCAATGAAGCCCGCTCCCAAAAAGTTTAGAGGGAGTTTCAGATGGAGTGGGACATTTGTCAACTCTGTAGCTGATAAGGGCGACCCATTAGGACTCTGTACTGGGGGTAGGGGCACGTTTAAAGAACTCTGTCCAAAACATTTTGGCCAACAGGATCAGAGATACTAGACTTGTCAACAGGTGGGACAACCTCAAAAAGGAGAGCTCCCTATTTGTGATAGTTCAGTAATAGACCAGAGACTTGCTACTATTGCACAACCCTGATTGCTGGATCAGAAGAGGAATTTCCAGACTCCGTTTCAAGCAGGGCTGGTGCAGGGCTGTGGATCCCACCAGACAGTCTGGAGACTAGCTAGACAGGGAGATGGGCAGCAGAGCTCCAAATCAGGCAACAGCAAGTGTGGAAGGAGCAGTGACCTATGGGGAGACTCCTAACTCATAGACCAACCTCTTCCAGCAGAGGGCAGCGCCTCAGATATCAGGCGGGACTCAGGCCAGCTGGAACCAGAGCTGGGGACTTCGCTGGACAGATCGCAGCAGCCCTGAGCCGAGGAGAAATTGAACTAAACTGTCCTTTGGATACTGTAAGTGACATTGGGGAATGCTCAGCGAAAGACACGGTGGGACTTCACACGACCGTGATTTGCCAGTTTTGTAATGTCTACCAGTTTGGGTTTGGTAATAAATCTCTTTTTATACAGCCTGGCTGTGAGGGCTTGCCACTGAGGGAATTTGGAATCAATTTAACTCGACTGGCCACCGAGTTTCTCAGGTTTCTGGGTGCATGCTTGAATCAAAAAGGGAGTGACATGCCTAAAATATAACCTAGCCTTCTGGCCCTGGGGCTCTGTGGATCTGACACAAAGTTTACAAATAGAAAGTTAGCGGAGGGAAAGATATGGAAGAAGTAACAATTTTATCTAAAAATAGAAACTTAGTGTTTAACACCAGTCTTTTCCTTTTGCATTTCAAGGACTGTGAAGGATGACCGTTAAAACAAACTTTATCGTGGAAGAGCCAGCCATGCAAACTGCTGCGCATGCAGCTAATGAGAGATTACAAGCAGTTAGTCTCGTAGGCCTAAACAGTTTCCAATAGACTCTTCCCTGAGTACTGCTTACCTTTCCTGCTGTGTAGTGGTTAGAATCAAACAGGGGCAAAGCTGAGTTACTGTAAGATAAAGTCTGTTGCTACTCCTGTTGTTTTGGAGCCTTGTGATAAGAAAGGAAGGAGTGACTTTGGCATTTGCTGGTGGAGTCAAGCAGATTTGCCAGATGATAGAAGAACTGTGTGTGTTTAATTATTTGTCAGGCACGGCGATGTAAGACACATCACAAACGAAATCAGAGCAACAGTGAAGTCTAAGGGTAGTTCGCACGCGTTTCGCAGAGAAACATCAAGTGTTAGAAACACCAGCGAGGAGAATAAAGTTTCTTGGCTGCTTTATTTTCCTGGTCCCTTCTAGCCCAGGGATGTCGGGCGCTCTCCCGGAGGCCAGATGATTATCGGCCGTCCCGCACCGGCCAACCAGCGGCGCGAGTCCCCGGGCCGCCGGCCGCGGAGACGCCGAGGGGCTTCGGCGGGTTTGGCGTGGGACTGTCAGCAGCAGCGGCTGCGGGCGGGGAAGGGAAGGCCGTCGGAGGCTCTCCGAGAGGCCCTCTGCCAAGGCCGCGGCTCCGACCCGAGACCGTCCCCTGCCGTCTAGCTCGGCAGGGCGCGGCCCCAGCGCCACCCGGCTCGCCCCGGAGAGGTGGGACTTTCCCCACCGGAAGTGATCCCGGCCAGTCTCGGGGAACTGGGGCACCTCAGCCAGTGTGTCAGGGAAACCCTTCCGGGTGCGTGCTGGGGGCGGGGGGGGAGAGAAAAAAAAAAAAAAAGAGGTGGCTTCGCCCGGAGTGGCCGCCGCCGCCGGACGGCCCCCGCCCCTTTCCCCTCCGCGAGCAGCGGCGCTGGGGCGGCGGTGAGACTGGGGAGCCGGCCGCTGGTCATGGCCTTGGCGTGACGGAACCTCCCGGGCGGCCGGGCGGGTGCGGACGGCGGGGTAAGCGGCGGCGGAGGCAGCCGGGTCCAGGCGGGAGCTGGCGGAGAGCGGGGAGGGAGCGGGGGGCCGCCCGGGGGGGGGGGGGGGCGGGTAACGCCCCCCCCCTCCCCCCCCCCACAGGCCGGACGACGCCCGCGGGAGCCGCGGCCCAGAGACCCGCCCGGGCGGCAGTGACTGGAGCCGAGCCCACAGGCCTGGGCCGGCTCGGCGGCGCGAGCAGGAAGCGGGGTCCCTGGGCCCCTTTGTGTGAAGGGCGGGGGAGGGGTGCCGGGCCGCCCCTGGCCGCGGGGGCCCCCCGTTCTGCGGCCCCCACCGCTTCCCTCGGGGGCGCGGCGCGTCTCCCCACCCCGCCTCTCCGGGCTTGCCCTCCTCCCCACGCCCCCTGCCTGGGCTTCGGTTCCTATAGGAAGGGCATCACCATCTCATCCCCACCCACCCGACACTTGGCTCTTTCCCCTCCCCCTCCCTTAACTTCCTCTTCTTCCCCCGTTGGGCCCTCTGCCTCTCCGCACTCTCCTCCCCAGTTCGCAGATTTCCGCCCACCTTCCGCCTCCCCGAGCCGCCGCGGCTAGCGGGGTGTTCTTTTCCCTCCCTCTGGTAGGAGTTGCTGAAGGTGAGACTCATGAGGGAATACAAGGTAGTGGTGTTAGGGAGCGGAGGGGTTGGCAAATCTGCCCTTACGGTGCAGTTTGTCACTGGGACTTTCATTGAGAAATATGACCCCACCATTGAAGATTTCTACCGCAAAGAGATCGAAGTGGACTCTTCCCCCTCTGTGCTGGAAATTCTGGACACCGCAGGAACTGAGCAGTTTGCCTCCATGAGAGATCTCTACATCAAAAACGGCCAAGGTTTCATCCTGGTTTATAGCCTGGTTAATCAACAGTCTTTCCAGGTAACCAAACCGAGTCTTGTAATTTGTTAGAAGGGGGTGTGGTAATCCCACATTTACTTCTGGTGTGCTTGAACCGTGCCTTAATGACTATGTTTTGCTTCTGAAAGTTAGACATGGCGCATTTTTGAGGTTGCTTCTGGCACGGAAAAGTATCGGGTTGTTTCTATAGAGAGTCTACAGTAACAACCGTCAACAAATATTTTAAAGTTATTTTTGAGTCAAAGAAAAGTGAGAACGAAATGGGGCAGTCTGTGTATATTTAGCCTGGAAGGGAACCTTCTGAAGTTGCTTGTTCGATTCAACAAGTATTGATTAATGTACTTACTAGAACAACATTTAACAGAGAATCTCAGGTAAATAGAGCACTTTGCAGAGAAAATTACTTGGAGCGGGTATCTGTAACTCCTCTGTGTCTGCTTTCCCCATCTCTTCCTCTGTGTTCTCTCACCCAAGTTCCTCAGCCAGATTCATAAATCTTAGGTGTTACAAGATGAAGAACTCAAGACCTTCTAGGCATTTTACTTTGGGGCGTGTGAAGGAAGGTTACTAATTGAAAAGACTAGTACCTAGAATTAATAACCGACAAAAAGCTACAGTGACTCTCCTCTTCTGCAGTTGATCCAAGTTGTTTCTGATAACACCGACTATATTTATACAAAATATGTGGATCAGGGAACACCGGACAAGTGCAAATTTCTAACCCTGGCTGGGTGGCCCAGCTGGAGGTGGTCCAATTTCTTCTGAAAATCTGTCCTGTCCTTCACTGGGAGACCGACTGAAGGTTTAACATTATTTTAAGAGATGCAGTAAATGTTGCTATTTATTCCTTGAAAATAAATAACCTCGTATTGACCCATTGTATTGACCTCCATTGATTTAGGAAATGGATAGTTTTTCTGCATTTAAAGGTATGCGCTTAATGTTGCTTGCTTAAGAGACATTAAGTGCTTTAGCGAATACAATGTGCTAATTCCACTTTTCTTAGTATTTAAATTACAGTGCTCTAGTGAAGTTTTCCAGTAACGCCATATAGCAACTTCAGGATTTTTTTCTCTTTAAGATATAATAAGTATAGTGACCAAACTAAAGTACATTTTATGTGGGCTTGAATTCCAAAGCAATGATAGTATCATAAAAGCATTTTCCCCCAGAAAGTACCAAAGGTGCTATTTGACAGGCATTTTCTTTCTAAAGGATCCTCGAGAGATTTGTTATTCTATTAGCTGACTCTCTTGAGGCTGGAAGTCCTTTGAAGGGTTTTTCATATGATTTCCATTACATCTGCTTCTGTTACAGGCATAAATGGGGAGTGAAAAACTGCCATTATTTCAACGGAGACTTAAACTCTTTCAAGCCCAACTGTCATAAATTTGATTTCTCATTTGAACTTGTGTTTCCATAAGGACACAGTGAAAAAGAGCTTAACCTAGAAGACCGAACTGATACATGATCAAACAAAATCGTTGCAAACATCAAATAATGATGGTTTCATAAATTTTCACAGTGCTCTGTTTTTCCTTCATCCCGCAAGTGAATGTAGCATTCACTGTTAACTATTCAGATTAAACACGTTTGATATTTAAGTCAAACCTTTTAAGTTACGAAACATTTAAAAAATGGAAACTTAGTATTAAATCTATAAAATTGCCTTAAAGCGACCCTTCCTCCCCTCCCCCAAAGTTGATGCCACCTGAGAATCGCCAAGGCTCTTATCTTTTATCATTAATTGTAATTAGAAAAAATGATACACTTGGGAGAAAATTGAAGCCGTAAAACCTAACTAGGCAAAGGGAAGTATGACTGTCTTCCCGCCCAGACTGCTCCTTGGTGCATTTGTCCCTCCCAGGAGGTGCTCACTGTTAGATTAGTTTCTGGTGTATTTTAAGGTGTCTGATTTTACTGGGATGAAGGCCTACCATTAAATTTAAAAGTAAACATTTAAGTGTACAAATCTGTTTTTGAACTGGTCTTCGAGACATGACACAGTGTTTTTGTTCCCACCTGAAACACTTTCTCTCAGGCACTCTTGCTAAATGGCTAGGAATGCACAGATGCCGCAAGCCTGTGCTGGGATAACAGGTGTTTGCAGGAGTGCTGACAAGCTGGCAGGTTTAAGGAGATAGCCGAACATCCTCATATACAAATGGATTCACCAGAATTGGGAACTTACTTTTAAATCAGTACAGACTAGGGGAAAGAAGTATGAGTCCTAAGGTTCGTGTGCAGCCTACATTTTATACTCTTGACAGAAACCCAGCAGGTGGGATCTGTGGAAATGATCGAGTTCCTACTTGGGTGGAGAAAATGTTTATTTTCTCCATTTGGGTGTATGGTTTTCTTTTGGATTCAGCTTTCTGTACTCCCCGAGGGATGACTTCTTGCGATGTTGTAATACTCCTGTTATGGTCATGCAAACAGCGTATTTTTTTTTTTTCTTTGTGATTGTTTGAATAGGATATCAAGCCCATGAGAGATCAGATTGTCAGAGTGAAGAGATACGAAAAAGTCCCACTAATCCTAGTAGGAAATAAAGTGGATCTGGAACCAGAAAGAGAGGTTATGTCTTCAGAAGGCAGAGCCCTGGCTCAGGAATGGGGCTGCCCTTTCATGGAAACATCGGCAAAAAGTAAATCAATGGTGGATGAACTTTTTGCTGAGATCGTCAGGCAAATGAACTATTCGTCCCTGCCCGAGAAGCAAGATCAGTGTTGTACAACTTGCGTTGTCCAGTAAAAAAAGAACCTCAATCATGGCCATACCGAGCAGGTTAGTTGTTGATGGAACCTTATGAGTCCTGAGAGTGTTTTGGTTTTGATCGAGTATAACAAAAAGCTGGTTAATATTAATACACGTTGTGCTACCTTCAATTTCCTTGTTTGTTTTTAAAGTAATATTTCCCTTAGCACAAAATAGTCAACATTCAATGAAGAAAATAAAAAAAAGATACAGATAAGCAAAAGGAAGGTAAGAAATTGCCTGTATTCCTGTCACTAAGATTTATTTTTAAAAGTGAATTATTGTTCTCTCTGCTTCATCGATAACATTACTTTGGGGTGGAGTGAGTTAAAGGATAATACACCTCTTCCCTGTTCCGGTGATTTCGCATCCAATAATAATTTTAGAAGATGATTGGTTTTGTGTTTTCTACACTTTTCTGTCCCGGGCTAGAGAGCTGCTGTAATTGAAATCCTCAATTTACTAATCACCCAAGTGCTTGATTTAACAGGATGATTATTTAATCAAGTTCATCTGTACCTTGCACTTGAGGGACTTAAGTGACCTCTGATAATAACAAATTGTAGTGCCACGGCGTACCTTGACTTCATTATGAATATATAGTCCAAATGAGAATCAGGTAAAATCATCTGTGATGTGTTAGAAGAAACACACCCCAGCCCAGGCAACATTTTTATTCGGTTTAGGAAATAGAGTTAATAAGAACAATAACAAAACCTTCACACCTTTCATTGAGTTGAATGATAACTTCATAAAAGTTTTTTCAAATGAATGAGTTTTTTATTTTTTTATTTTTATTTTTTTAAAGATTTTATTTATTTATTTGAGAGAGAATGAGAGACAGCACGAGAGGGAAGAGGGTCAGAGGGAGAAGCAGACCCCCTGCTGAGCAGGGAGCCCGATGTGGGACTCGATCCCGGGACGCCGGGATCATGACCTGAGCCGAAGGCAGTCGCTAAACCAACTGAGCCACCCAGGCGCCCAAATGAATGAGTTTTTAAAAAGCAAGGTTATATAAGACTTATTGAGCATTTTAAGTGGGATTCTTTTTTCATATCATGATCTTTTAATCTAGATTATAATTGGGCAGATAGTCTCACTTAGACAGTAACCCTTACATAACAAGATAAAACAACCAATATCCTGGATGACTGCGAAACCACAGCAAATGGCAGACTAGCTTGACCATCTCAGGAATGGAATTGATTTGAGCCAAGACTGACCTCAAGTCTAGGAGGTAGTGTTGCAAATGGCAACAGGCATTTCAGATTGCAGTGATGATTCCTAATCAAAGGTCTGGCTTTATATGTGCTCCCTGGAGAAAAGACTAACAGTCCCTGATTTATCTTTTCGGACAAGATCTTCTGTCAGGGAGTGTCTGTCACCTTTGAAAATGAAGGATGACAACAGTGCTTTATTCAAAATGCTTTCACGCATCAGCTTTTTAGCACACCAGAATATGATGAGAACACATTTATTTTCTAATCCCTGGCTGCTACATCTCTTACGGCATCACTGTTGAGACCACACTCCAGCATACGTTTGGTTGATAGCGTCACCCTTGCAGTATAGTTTTTTGAAGCAGGAACAGGCGTGATGTAGATGATCCAGTGCCGTGTTCATGTTTCCCTAATCTCTCTTCACTTGTAAGCCAGCTTCAAGTTTGAACAAGTTCTGTGTGGTGATTGCATCTTTACCATTACGCTCTCTTTCTCTTTCTGACACTTTTAACTGGGAAAATGACATAAACGTACATGTTTTAGTGTTGTCATCTTTATAAAAAATTAACCAGCTCCCACAAAATGTTCCCAGTTTTCTTTCCATCATTAATGTAGACAGCTACAGGAAGTAAACTGAATAAAATTCAGATTGGCAGATGGATAGCTTCCAAAGCGATTTTAAATCTTTGAGTTCTCTCTACATTTATTTTGCAGCTTGTGTGATCTAAATTACTTTTAATCCATTTGGTTACCTGTGGGATTGATTAAATAGAATTGATTTATATCTCAAGCCAACTATGTTTATGTTTTTTTGTTAATGTACTAAAAATCAGAAAATATTAATACCAATAATTGCTCATTTCTTTATAATAATAGGTCAAGCCGCCTGTGTAGTTTTTTGTTTGGTTTTCATTGTAAGCAGAATACACATTGGAGATGTGAGCATTGAAATAAAATAAGCAGCTGAATGTCTGCAAATATTAAAGGAAATTTCCTGACCGAGATCTTTTAGAACAAAGCACACTACACTTTTTCTTTTCTGACATCACATAGGATGGAATTGATGTGTATGGGAATCTATAACCTGAGGCCTGTAAAAGCTCGTGGTTGTGCTTGCTTACTATTTATCTACAAAAACAGGTGATGGATTCTGAATCCCGTAGCTTGAGCCACGGAGCTTCGAAGTCTGTCAGTCCCAGATCTAGGCTGAACATCAAACTTTGACAAGTAAAGGTGATTTGAGAAATGCTTGTCCTTAATACTTAGAAGAGTACCTTTGTCCAAGTGAGAAATGATAAGATTCAGATAAGTCAGAAGAACTGTTGGGATTGTAGTGAGTTGGTTGCCCTTAATCGAAGGGGACATTTTAATGCTCTAAGAATCGCTTCTGATAATTGCTCACATTTATTTCTTAGCACCCTTCAGTGTGGGTCACCAGTCTCTTGCCCAACACCTGTTTATCTGCATGGCTTCCCAGGATCGTTGCCTCACCTCTCACCCTCCCACTGGCCATAGTCTTAGTGTGAGTTTTGAAGCCCAGATTCTTTACATGCTGTTTACGCGGCGGGTTTCCTTACTGACCCGAGGAGCCTGCCATCGAGGGCCTTGGCAGATTGCTTTCCTGCGCAGCAGCAGGATAATAGAAACCCAGGCCAGTACTGCAGGCCTGGTTTGCTTTTACTAACTATATCATAGCTCCTCTGTATATTGGTGGAAATAATTGACAATTGGCTCTTTTGGTATACTGTTGTGGAGACTGATGGGTGTTTTGTTAACCATCTCATAATACTATAAAAGAAGTAAATCACAGTGCTGTGGGCATTCAGGGAAAGGAGAGACCACGTCCAGTTAGAGCAGACTTCTCAATACTCTGAGCTCTTGGTTATGGGGGTTGAGCAGCGTCCCTGGCCCCTACTTCCTAGATAGACATCAGCAGCAGTCTCCCGCCCCCTAGTTGTCACAAACAAGGATATCTCCAGACATTGCCTAATGGCTCCTAGGGGGCGAAACCACCCCAGGCTAAGAACCACTGACTTCGAGGAATTGGGGAACAGTAACATTTGAGTCCGGTCTTGAAGAATGGGTAGGATGTGAAGCGGTGGGGGAGGGATAGAGGTGATTTCCAAACAGAGGGAATGCCAAAAAGGAGCAAAATAATATCCCTAAATTAGTAGTCTCTTGGTTCCCTGAAAGGCAGGTGGGAAATGCAGTAAAGTTATCCTTCAAATGTGACTGGTAAATACCCTTTTGACAAATAGAATTATTTAAAAGATTATTTCTCAAGGATTTCTGTATCTCGGTCCAGTATTGATGAAAGTTATAAAAAAAAAAAAAAACCTAGAATAAAAAAGGTGTTCTTCACTACAGTTTGAAGGGCTCCTGCAAGATTTTATCCTATTTTTTTCCATGTATTATGGAACGGGTTCTCCCAACGAGAGTAAATGGTGCATAAGAGTACCAAACACCAGCAATCAAACTGAAAGAACAAAGATCATTATTTATGTCAGCCTCAGTTCATTATATATGTCAGCCTGAAGAAAAAGCGAGATTCTTGATTCAAGACCAGCACATCATTTCACGTGGCAGCAGAATGCCCGGGATGTTAACAAAGGCTCCTGAAAGGCTGAACCATCTATGAATGTCATTTTAGTCTAGCTGGCCTTACCATTTCTAAACACAGTGGAATTGATTAGCATTTTCAGGGTTTTTGTTTTTTTTTTAATACGTGGAATCAGAATTGTTCCTAATCTTTTGTCCCCCCGGCTTTTAATTAGATATGATATGCCAAGGATTTAGCAAACGGAAAAGGGAAAATCATGAAAATTAAATCACGTCGTGTACTTTAAAATGCTGGCATTTTCATATCCAAGTTAAATATTAATCCTATCAGTGAAACACTGGGGTGGAATTCTGTTGCAGAAGTTACAGTGTAGATACTTCCTTTTTTTTTCCTTGCCCTATTTTGCATATCACCTTGAGTAGGGAAAATAACTTACTTTAAATGCTCATTTGTCATCCAGTTCACATGGTGAGCCAAAATAGAGCCTGTGGCATGGTGGCCCTGGATGGAACAGGGGTATGCTTTGGGGGTAGTATGTACCGTGAAGATCTGCAATGGACTTGGGGTATAAAAGGGTCATTTCTGCACCCGCCTAATTTCCCAGACCTTCACTGACTCCCCCCCCCCCCCCCCCCTTCCTTGCCAAAAGGTTCATGGTCTGGGACTGTTCAGAGTGAATAGGTTCCTAGTTAGACCTGCTCTGGGTGTGGAGGTGTCTGTGATTAGAATCACTCTTTGTATATCTGTTCCCTCTTTAATTGCTTCCTTTTAACCTTAAGATTAGGCTTTTATTGCAGAATGAAATGCATATGAGCCATTCAGTTTTACTCCATTACCTCTCTGGCTTAGAATGAACCATCAGTAGAATTAACAAAAATTGCATCATAGAGTTGGAGAGTTGCCACCGAGGAAGTATTCTAGCCATACTACAGGAAAGATTCTCCTCGTGGGATTACTTCTCAGTGGAATTCGAAAATCCAGAAGATAATATCACTAAGAAAAACTTAAGTCCTGTCAGCTGTTGGAAAAACTTACCCTACCAAAAACCATACTCCCAAATTCTTTTGATTAGCCACAGTTTTAGGAACATGGGATTCAGAAAAAGCGATTTAGAGTTGACGGGAGCAGTACCCTACCTGGTCTGATTCGAAGTTAGCAGCTGGAACCCGATCATTGGGTTCATACTCTGCTTCTCAGTGGACGTGGTCATACACACCTGAGATCTCAGAACTGAATTCAGTAATTTAAATTTATGGAGATTTTAGGTATAGGACAGAAGAAAAATAGTTTATCCCTTTTTTTTTTTGGACTTTGATTTTCTCTTTAATAAAATAGGAATAATATCTTCACTATATATATTTACCTAGTAAAATAAAAATGTAACAATTTATTTAATAGATGGAATTTTTAAAAATTTTTATTGTTATGTTAATCACCATACATTACATCATTAGGTTTTGATGTAGTGTTCCAGGATTCATTGTTTGTGCATAACACCCAGTGCTCCATGCAGAACGTGCCCTCTTTAATACCCATCACCAGCCTAACCCATCCTCCCACCCCCTCCCCTCTAGAACCCTCAGTTTGTTTCTCAGAGTCCATCGTCTCTCATGGTTCGTCTCCCCCTCCGATTTCCCCCCCTTCATTCTTCCCCTCCTGCTATCTTCTTCTTTTTTTTTTTTCTTAACATATATTGCATTATTTGTTTCAGAGGTACAGATCTGTGATTCAACAGTCTTGCACAATTCACAGTGCTCACCAAAGCACATACCCTCCTCAATGTCTATCACCCAGCCACCCCATCCCTCCCACCCCCCACCACTCCAGCAACCCTCAGTTTGTTTCCTGAGATTAAGACTTCCTCATATCAGTGAGGTCGTGTGATACATGTCTTTCTCTGATTGACTTATTTCGCTTATCCCTTCCTTTCTACCCCAGGTTTACCATAAACTTCTAGGGTGCACAGTCTCCTTACAGCACAGTCCCACTTTCTTTCCAAGATTCAATGCCATAGTTTGAGTATTTAACTTGGATATGAAAATGCCAAGTAAAAAATGTAAAGGGAAATTCACTTTTTAAAAAAATTCCTTTGGTTAAATCTCCAGAATATCATATGTCTACAACTGGAAAAAATTAAAATTGATTATGTTTGCACATTTATATTTGCTAAAAAGAATGCTGATAAATACCATTGTATTTAGAAATGGCGAATCCAGCTAAGCTAAAAAGACATTCATAAACTGCTAAGTGTTTCGGGACCCTTTGTTAATATCCCAGGCATTCTGTTGCCACGTGAAATGATGTGCTAGTCTGGAATCAAGAGTCTCCCTTTTCTTCATGCTGACAGAAATAATGATCTTTGTTCTTTCAGTTCTGTGTTTGGTACTCTCGGGTACCAACTTACCCCGCCTGGGAGACCCTATTTCATCATTTCCTGAGCAGAAGGTTTGGACTGTTTGGTGGCGGGGTGGGGGTGTGTGTGTGTGTGTGTGTGTGTGTGTACTCTCCCTTGACAAAATCTAATGAGAAAAAAGTGAAAAAGTGAAACCAGTTAAGCAAGAGTTGGAGCAGAAGCTTCCAGAGTTGAGATTTGTTGGGTGTTTTACTGGAAACTTGATTGTTGAGGACAAGGATCACTTGTGTTCTGTCTTACAAGCAGCAAGTTATACTTTTGCAATCTGTCTGGATGTGCTATCCTGGGAGTTAAAAAGTATGAGTTTGACCAGCTGTCTTTAAAGCTTCTGGAATGTTTTTTAAATGAACGAGAGTTGTTAGTACACTGAAAATGTTGCTGTCAGAGTGTGGAGCAATAACATTTATATTTTGCATTCTGTGAAATTCTCATCTTGAGAGAGACTGTCCTTTTTGCTTAATGCAAGCTTTTGCTTCAGGATTTGTTACTGCAGAGAATCATAATTTATTACTCTTCTGAAGAAGAGCTGGTATTAATACTTTGTTTAATGGTACGCCTCCTATTAATATTGTTGAGTCTGACCCAGGATTTATCTATGTCTCTTGATTTCACTGGAGTATTGTCATCCTGTGGAATGTGGAGGGACCAAATGTTAAGCAGATTTTTAGAGGGTGAGAAATAATGCATCTATCACTTTTTATTTAATGTAGATTATGGTTGATAAGCTGGCTTGTATTCTTAGTGTTTATTTTGGCTAGAAACAAATGATTACTACTTCCTCAATTTGATTTCAGAGAATGCCTGAACTACTAAAACATCATATGTTACAAGTCTTCACTATTGAAGAGACAGAAGCATATTTGAAAATCCCAAACTCTTTATAATTTATTTTTTTAAATGTGGATTAAAATTTACAGCAGGGCACCTGGGTGGCTCAGTTGGTTAAGCGACTGCCTTCGGCTCAGGTCATGGTCCCAGAGTCCTGGGCTCGAGTCCCACATCTGGCTCCCAGCTCAGCGGGGAGCCTGCTTCTCCCTCTGACCCTCTCCCCTCTCATGCTGTTTCTCTCCCTCTCTCTCAAATAAATAAATAAATAAAATCTTAAAAAAATATATATAAAAATAAAAAAAATTTACAGCAAACTAATTAATTTAAATCAATTGAGGAAAGTAGTCTGAATTACTGAAAAGTCTTCACACTGAATTGCATATATATTGAAATACTGTTGTCTTCAAAGAGGTATAAAAAAATCAAATGAGGCTAAAAAAACAAAGGCCCTCAGTCTGGATATCAGAGACATAATTCTGGTCTTCTAGAATTTATAACATGGTTGAGAAATGAAAAAAAAAATACCTGACATTTGCATAGTTTTTAAGGTACTTTCACACATTATGTGATATTTACCACAACCCTTGAGGAAAGAATTTTTATCTTTATTTTAATGATGAGGAAACTGGACTTGCTCAAACTTAAATAACCAGTATCCTAGTTAAAAATTTGATGCAAAAAAGGTTTAATTTTAATTGGAAAATAACATTTTATAACAATTTCTAAGGAGGCAAATTATTCTCCTATTTTTCCTAATGTGTTTAGGTGGCGGAATTTCAATAATAAGCAGAAAGATATTCTTTAAAAGTAATCATTTTTATGATATAGCTGCTAATAAAGAGTTCTCTCAGGCTCTTTGGACACTAATAGAAGTGTAGCTGTCAAAGGAAGTTAAAATTATGCATGTGTAAATATTGGTAGAGCCTTTAGATGATCTTAAATTGGTTTTGCTTGGCATTCTTTCATAGTTGCTGTTCTACTCTTTGTTTCTGGCTTCATTTAACAACTTTTATCTTTTACATTAAAAAACAAATGTAATTCCACTCCCCTAGAAGCTACTTGGTGATCCAGCACAGTTAAAGGACCTTGTGTCTGAATGATAGATTTTTTTTCCCCTTGGTATTAATTAGAAGGGCAGAGGTCTGTCAACTGTGAGAGTGGAGCCTGAGAAACCTCGATCAGAGGAGAGGTCCCTGTGGTTGGCAAGGTGTCCAAAACCGGGCAGACCAGAATGGGGACCGGAAACTACCGCTGTCACGTAGCATCCAACCCAAGTTGGGGTACTTAGTAGGTGCTAAGTAGCTAGACCCTGATTGCATTACATTTTCTTACTTTAAATTATCCCCCAAACCCTACATTTTGAAAAAGTTTCACATACTGTCCAGTTTGCTCATAATGAAGATGCATTTGATTCAAATGCCACTTCCCATTAAATGTATGAAGAAATCAGATTCAAAATAGAAGTACTGTCTGCCACTTTTGTACTGTAAAATCTTGTAAACCGGGAAGAACATGGTTAATATTGTATAAAGTATAAAACAAGTATGAAGTATAATGTAAAAATAAACCGGAGTGGTTACATATACACAGTATATTATAATCAGTGCATCATTAGTGTTTCTAATTTTCAGTGACTCTCTTTGATCACGTAAAATTATTTTTTAATTTAAACTGATGGGGGACACAGTGAAATTCCACCTTAAGATAGTTCTTCTGGTGCCAGTTCCATGTATATATAGATCTGTTGTCAGTGTTCTCATTTGAAACTGTAATCTATATTCCTATCTTTTTACGACATTTTCATCTTAATTGCAGATAAAACTCAGAGGAAATTTGCACAGATGCTGCTTTGGAGAACTTTACAACCTGGGTTGCAGAACTGAGCCTTGGTAAACCTGTCTCTATTACAGCATGTTGCCATACATCTAATTCAGTGCATAAGGTCCTTGGCCTTCAAGATCCATCGACCTTAAACAGGAATGCTTAGCACGTTTACCATATGTTTAAAATCTATTCTTTATCAATCAGTCCTTTTGTAGCTTTCTAAGTTCTTATTGATGGCTAATATGCAAGAATTAATTTTTAATATTTTAATTGATTTCTTTAATCAGTTTCTCAACTTGTATTTATTAAATACTCAAACTCAGTATTACCTACTCAATGCCTTTTAAAAGAAAGTTATAATGGAGAAAAAAATTGAGCCTTAAACAAATGGTTACTTCTGTATATTACCTCGCACCAGTGCTTCATTCTATTTGTAAAATCTTTCTCCTTTAAATGATTGGTTAATACTTTGAGACTTTGTTTACGTGTGGCAGTGTTGTAAAAAGAAACTAAAGATCACGTTTTTACCCTGATGGATGGAATATCCCTTTTCTTCAAGTACAGTTTGTGATGTGTTTTTGTAATTAACATGTTCTGAATGTTCCAATTGATATTTGAAATTGACAGTAGAGCATTTAGCTGAAGAGTTCAGCATTTGATTCCATTAGGTTTTCACATGTGTTAATCTCATTTACAGCATCGAATAGCAGCAGTAACATTTTCCTTTCTGTGAAGTTCTAAATTTAGTTATGACCTAGTTAGCAATGCCTTTGAAAAGGGATATTGTATCCATGGTAAATTAATTGTATACCTAAACAGAGATCGCTCAGCTTTGCCTGTCAGGCTTGTAATTGACATCTAGTAGACTTCTGCACATGTAAAATTGAATTCAAATAAAATCATATACGCTTTCTAGTTCTTAATATTTGTCTTTCTGGATAATAGTTTAAAGCAATATTTGTTAAAGTTTTCTTGCACTATCACAATTGCTTTTTAGTTATTTCTCAAGAAGCATGTTCGTAGTAGAGACAAAAATCTGTGTAACAGGAGAGGATAGCGCCAAGTCTCTGGGCTTTTTTGTTTGTTTGTTTTGGGGATTTTTTTTTTCCAAATGTGCTTCTAATAGCCATTGCCTTCCATGTTGTTTACCTAATCAGCACATTTTGTCTGAATACTTGAACATTTTAACAGTAATACAGGTATAGAAACAGAAAGGAAACTTGTAGAGTAATCTTTTGGTTCAGTTTTAACATCTTGACAACAAGCGCTTTTTCTAGCAACAACTTAAAAATTTTGTAAGTTTGACAGTATTTTCTTGTTGGGTTTTTATTTGGTTTTAGTTGCGTGCTTTTAATTTGCAGAAGTTAGTAACTGCAGCTCACCTACTGCACCAAAGTTCTCGATTTTAGGAGCCCAGCTTTAGTCATTTGAACATGCTTCTAAATAAAACAAAACAAAAAACCAAAACTATACTTTTGATCTATAATAATAGCTCAATAACTTTGTCAAGGAAAGCTCTAATATATGCAGTGATGGTTTATGGAAGGGTGTGGCAATTTTAAATTTATATTGTGTGTGATGTTCAAATAAAGTGATATCTACATTCATGTGATTTATTGGTCAGCATGACCATTAATTATTATGTAGAAATTGATTAAACTTTGATTTCCTTTTTTAAAATCGTGTTGCATTTGATTCCTGATCAGATTCCCTCAAAGTGAACCCCTTGATCTGAGATTTTGGATTTTATGGTGAGGTTGTAGGGTGGAGGCAGTTGAAACATTGTTCCTTATTTATAAACCACTTGAAGTGAATACCTAATTTAAGTTTGCACTTTAATACCAAACTTAAAAACCAAACACTCAGTACAGAGTAGGTTAAGTGGTCATGGTTCATCTTTATTAGCTGTGTGAAATTCTAAAGGAATCAAATAATTCATGATGATTTAAAATTTTTCTGCAGATGATTTTTTTTTATATGCAGTGTTTCTTTCCTATGGATAGTCCCCTGCCCTCCCCTCCCCCCCCAGCCCCCAGCATTGATCTCAGCAGCAAATTTAACTTGAATTCACTTAGGATCACAGGAATCAGGGGAAAGTGATTTAAAGGTGGTTTCTCCAGCACATTTTAAGAAAAGGGACCAAAAGTTTTAGCTTCCTCAATAGATTGCATGTCAAGTTGCTTATTAGGATAATAAATTAATATTAAATGCAATATATGTCTTGTCTTTACTATGGCATCTGTTTAGGAGTTGTTCAAATCACTGCAGTAGGGCTCTGCAAATAAAATCATGTAACCTGTTAATGGATCTAATGTACTGTAACTTTATCAATGAAAGGTAAAAATCTCAAATAACAAGTACAAACATTGAACAATGACCTATAAAGATTTGTAAAAGTAAAATTTTTCCAATAGATTTCATTCTTGTCATTTTGTAAGATGACCCTGCAGTCCACCTGTTTGTAACTTTTTTAATAAAATAGACATCTGTATTACCAAGGTTGGTTTCTTGAATTTTTTGGTATGTTACTAATTCTAGATTTGCTAACTTGTAAATCTTTCTCCTAACTGAGGGCCATTGCTTTTATCAAAATGATTGTGTTGTACATATTGAAACAAATGTTCACTTGTGTCCTTAGTCACCATTCTGGCATATGTGGGGGGGAAACTAACCCATATCCTAAAATATTTAATCAATTGAATCACTTCCAAATAAATTAGAAATTAGAACTAATGGGTGAAAAAGAATAATATATGACTTGTCACATTTGGAGAAAGTGGTCCAACTACAAATCTGTTGGCTGGCATTATCCATGTATAGGAGATTTCAGACAGTATTAAGCAATATAATTAAATTTTGAACTACCAAATGAATTAAGAACAACACAATCGAGTTATCACTTTGTTTTATCCAGTGGAAGGCTTTGCCAGTCCCTTTAGCTCACTGCCTAACTCAGTATTTTTAAGTTGTCGAACTAAACAGATTTTTAACCGCCATGTTTTTTAGACAGGTCTTTCTGTCCGAACACATATGGACTGGATTTTTTTTTTAATTTGTAAAAATGGGCAGGGTTATATACCTATGTCCTAACACATAGAAAGTATCTTACCGTTCATTACCACTGATGGTCATTGGGCTGGAGTCGGGCTCCACACACCTCATGTATGCTGTACTAGATGTGGTCCTTGACGTTGAAAAGCTTTTCTCCAATGAAGGCGCTCATGATTTCAAGGCCCTCCCCTTTTTCTCCTCACTGAAGTACTATCCCTTCATTGCTCAAGGTCAACGTTTTTAACCAAATGAATAACAGAGATGAGAGGATGGACTAGGGTAAGAGCTAAGGGGTTCTAGCCTGATGAGCCAAGTACGTGCTAGATATCAATCGGGAAGCTACTCCGGGTAACCTACAGCTACAGCTGGGTCACTCTTCCCTCTTACCCCTCCCTACCCTCTTCATGTTGTTAGGCACAGAGAAGGTTCATCCGGTCTTCACACGCCTCCAGGATATATATAGCAGCTTGGGATTGAGATCCAAAGCCGTAAGACATCTCGTTCGGATTCAAAGCAGGGGCGGTTTTTCAGATAGGCTCCTGTTTTCACCTCTATCTCGTTTGAGCCAGACTGCTATCTGGTGTTTAGGATTTTATTGTCCCCATTTTGTTGTTGATGAAACCAAGGCTCAGGAAAGTTGTGCCTTAAGATCATAAAGGCAAGGTCAAATGATTAAAATGTTGAGGAATTTTCTTTGGGGCAAGTTTTAAAATTATCATTGGGTAGAGTCAAATGGGTGCTATTAAAATTCTAGAGCTCACAGAAACAAGATAAGACACAGCAAGAAATAACTGAAGTCATTGTGACGGTCCATATGTAACAAAATACTGTGGGTCCTATTTAAAGGTAATGTGTTTGTTAAACTGCTAAGAGTTTATGTAAGACATAAGCTATTTTCATTATGGCTATTTTTCTTTTGGAAAGGCAATGTCTTAAATCAGGATTTGGCAGCCTTTGGCCGACAGGCAGAATCCAGCCCAGTTAGCAATGCCAAAAGAACTGTAGTTAGATTTAGCAGCTGTATCCTGGATCCATTGCAGAGCTCAGCTGTACCCTTTCTCTATCTAAACTTAGAGTGTGAATGGAGGCCCAGAAGTGCAGCTGATCCCAGACACATCCTTTATCAGCAGAGACCTGCTGCTGTGCTTACAGGCATCATTCTATGGCCCAGGCCATCCCACTCCCAAACACAGTGGTCCTGCCCTGTATTATAGTTCATGAGTCTTCCACAGACTGTGAGCATCTTTGAGATGGAGCTTTGCCTAAGTCACTTCATCCTCAGTGCTTACCTCTGGTGCATTATAGGTGCTCAGTAAGTATTTTGTGAAATTATAGTCTCAGAATCAGTATGGCAGATGGGTGTTCACTTTTTTTTTTTTAAGATTTTATTTATTTGAGAGAGAGAATGAAAGAGCGAGCACATGAGAGGGGGGAGGGTCAGAGGGAGAAGCAGACTCCCTGCTCAGCAGGGAGCCCAATGCGGGACTCGATCCTGGAACTCCAGGATCATGCCCTGAGCCAAAGGCAGTCGCTTAACCAACTGAGCCACCCAGGCGCCCTGGGTGTTCACTCTTGAGAAAACCCTGCCTTTGCCATCTCCTACTGGTCTTCTTCATTTATAGCAGTTAGGTAGCATGAGAAATGTGTTTTCTCCCCCTATTTTCCTTCATCCTCCACAGCATGAAGGGTTTTTGCTCGCTTGTTTTGCTTTCTGTTTTTGTTTACAATTGAAGTAGTTGTTTCTAAACTCACTTCCAAGAGAAACGTGTACCATGGAGCGATGGTCCATACAGGCATGCAGTAAATATGGACTGAAGGGCCTTGAATCTAAGTCCTACAAGACTCTAGTGAGAGGAGTATAATCAAGAGAGAGTATTTGCTGCCCGTGCCTGAATTTCCTCTCCCCGGTAGATTCCAAAGCTGACCCAGCCAAATTCTTAGGCAAGTGAGGGAAATGCTCATATTGAGTATAAGCAAAAACCTCCCCAAGGTTTCCCCTTTAATGAGGCCATAATTTCTATTCTCACAGCAAAACCTCAGGTAATTCCCCACGCGCACCCCTACGGCCATGCCCTCCGCCTTTCCTTTACCCTGGTCCCCATTTCCTCAGTGTGCCTAAGCACCAACTTCCGCCACAGGAAGCTAAACTCCTACCTTTCCCCCTCCCTTCTCTATGAATCTTGATAGTTTGGTGAGTAATTAAACTCATGGAAGTAAGATTTCTTTTACTCTGGTCCCCCCCCTACTCCAACACTCGGTCTCCAAATCCTTTGACACCAATAGCTGGAGACATTGTCAGGTTGGCCTTAAACCAACATAAGGTTATATTCAAAATAGCGGCTCCCTGTATGTGCTTAAATGTCAGCAACCTGTGCAGTCCGCCATGTAACCAGAGACTCGAAGATGCCCCAGGAAGCCCTCCAGGAATTGGCTCCTGAGGCTCTGGCTACTTTTACTTCATGCTGTAAGCCCCAGGGAATGCCGGGACTTAGTAGTTTGACGCTCCTACCAGCTGCTATAAGCTTTAAAATTTGGCGGGGGGCGGGTGCCAGGGGAAGGAGTGGGACTTAAGCCCACACTAAACTTTCGTTGGGGCTTGGAAATAGGGATTAAATCTACAGTTGAGAAATGGAAGGATCCCTGAGGGTTCTGACCCTTCAGTAAATCCGAGTTTGGAGGTTCATTGTTCCTCTGTTGAAGAGGGAGCCCCACGAAGCCCTGACACCAGTAGACGTAGTTGTCTCTGCTTTCCTGCTGTTCCTCTTTCAGACACCTATATGGCTATTCTTAGAAAAATCCCAGCTGAACTTTAGACATTATGCCATGCCCCAAGTTATCCGTACAAGTATTTCTGGTCTTTCACTCAGGCCCCAAGATATACAGAAGCAAATAGGAGGGGTGGATATTAAATGGCAGATGTAAGAGGGTGCCTGGGTGGCTCAGTCGGTTGAGCGTCTGCCTTCAGCTCCAGTCATGGTCCCAGGGCCCTGGGATCAAGCCCCACATCGGGCTCCCTGCTCAGCGGGGAGTCTGCTTCTCCCTCTCTGTCTGCCCTCCCCCCTGTTTGAGCTCACTCTGTCCCCCACCCTCTCTCAAAATAAATAAATAAATAAATAAATCTTTTTTAAAAACCTAAATGGCAGACATGAGGCTTTCTCCCTGCTTCACTGCCAGTTTAGTGGATGGCAGGTGCATGGACATTGAAGCCTTGCTCTCTAACCTAAGAGGAGTCTGCGCTACAGGCCTTTGGCACGTCAGCTGGCTAAAAAGAATAGTTGCGATGACCTAGGAATGGAAATCTGGCCCCAAACAGAGTGATTTCCCCTTGACGGTAAATTATCGCTTGGTGAGGATAACTATTCCAGACAAAAAAGGGACAAGATCGGTTCCTTCATTTAACTTCGTTTAACCGCCCTTCCATGTGTGTCCCAGGCCCCGCCCCGCGCGCTGAGTTTGTCCGAGGAACGGGCTGTGGCCTTCACCTCCGGTGCAGCTCGCGCTCTGGCCCGGGAGACAGCCTTGCAAGCAATCATCACGACACAATGTGACATCTGCTGTAATAGCAGCAGGACCAGATGCCAGGGAGCCCAGAGAAGTGAAGGGATTTGTTCTCCCCGGAAGGGTCAAGGGAAGGTCAAAGGAACTTGCCTCGTGAGTTGATTCTTGAAGACCGAGGAGAAAATTTGCCGCAAGGGCAGTTCAGGTAGACTCTGAGGGAGGAGGGTGAGCAGAGGCGCGGAGCCCCGAACGTGCCTGGCAGGCCCGGGGACCTTGTGACAGCAATGAGAGCCGGAGGGGCCTCTGGACTCAGAGTGGGCAGGAGGCTTGGGGGACGAGGCTGGAATGTGAAGGCCTAGCCTGTCGCACGGACAACAGTGGGAGGACTTTTCCTGGCAGCGAGGCGCAGGATGCAGCGGGAGGATGGCAGGAACACAGAGCGGTCTTAGAAAGATCCCCAAGGGGAAGATAAATGGCAGCGGATTTGCCTGGGGCGGGAAGACCTGTCGGGAGACCCCTGCAGTCCTAGAAGTGAGAAAGAGCAAGAGCTTCCGTGGGGCAGAAACTGAGCGAATGAAATGGTGGTGATAAAGTGGCCCGGTACATGAACCAAAATCGATGATCCGATCACCTTCTGTGCTTCAACTCTCTCCGCCTTCCGGGAGGGCTTTCACATACCAATTTGGCTGACCTCTCCAATCTCATCTTCTTCTGTCCCTCCCTTCGTAACCTAAGCCCGGGCCCCGTCCCCCTGACCCCAAACCTCCTACTGGTTCCTATTCAGTCACCTTTCCAGGCCTTTGTGGGACCATTTCCACCATGTGCAGTCCCCGGTGCCCCACCTCCCTCCTCGAGGGAATTATTCCTCATCCTTCAAGACATAGCTCATACCTCATCTCCATGGATCCCTGATTCTTTCTCATTCCCCTCAGGCAGAGATTCCCCCCC